ACATTCTGCAGCTTTTCGCAGTAATATTTTTATTGTTAATAAATGATTTTTAATCGTTAATTTGGAACGATTAAATTATCGTTCTAAACGAATGATTAAATTATCATTCCAAAAGAACGATAAAAATCATTCGATTAGAACGATTAAATCATCATTCCAAACGAATGATAAAAGAATCGTTCATTTGAAATGATTTAATTATCGTTCCAAAAGAATGATAAAAAATCATTCAATTAGAATGATTAAATCATCGTTCCAAATGAACGATAAGAATATTGTTCGATTGGAACGATTAAATCATCATTCTAAACAAACGATAAGAATATCGTTTGATTGGAACGATTTAATTATTGTTCTAAAAGAACTATAAAAAATCGTTCGATTAGTACGATTAAATTATCATTTCAAAAGAACGATAAAAAATCATTCAATTGAAACGATTGAATTATCGTTCCAAAAGAACGATAAAAAATCATTCAATTGAAACGATTGAATTATCATTCCAAACGATAAAAAATCGTTCAATTTGAACAATTAAATCATTGTTTCAAACGAATAATAAGAAAATCGTTCAATTGGAACGATTAAATTATCATTCCAAATAAACGATAAAAAATCATTCAATTGGAATGACGAAATTATCGTTCCAAACGAACAATAAAAAATCATTCAATTGGAATGAAATTATCGTTCTAAACGAACAATAAAAAATCGTTTAATTGGAATGACAAAATTATCATTTCAAACGAATGATAAAAGAATCGTTCATTTGAAACGATCCAAAATTTCAGATTAATCTGAAATTTTTGGTTCAGTTCAGATTTTTTTCGGTTCAGATTAGATTTATAATCTGAAAAAAATCCGAACTGAACTGAAATTTTTGGATTGAATTTTTTGCAATCCGAAACTGAACTGAAGTTAAACTGAACTGAAAATTTTTGGATTAATCTGAACCGTTCAGAGCTTTATATATGAATTATCTACACCTATTAAGGAGAAGACTACCGAAACCAATGATGAGAATGAAGGTTCTGAAGGTTCGATCTCATAGAATTTAGCTCGATTATTCCAAAAAGTAATTAAGGCCAAAAAGCGTATAACTCAAGCTTATTAAGAGGAAATTCACTGTTGGTACTACTATGCTAAATGGTTTGAAAAAAGTGTTAAGAATATTAAAGATAATGATAAGAGGGTTAAAAATCAACAGGCTAGGACTCAAGTATATAATGCAATTTTAAAACATCTTTCAAACATTACAAGAGAAAATTTACGTAAGAAGATACAGAAGGCAAGAAATATTTTCAAATTGTTTAGTAAAATAGGGATTAAAAAAGTCAAAAGGGTTCAATTCTATAATGCAAATAATATTTCAAAGCTTACAGGTACTTAAATCAAAAGTATTATAGCTTATTTTGCTTAAGAATCATAAATTCTTTGCAAATCGTGTGAACTATGATTCATGCTACGTGATCATTGCATCACATAAATAAAGTTAGTTTGCAAGTCATTTTAACCAAATGTATGCTATATATAGGTGATATGATGTTACTTTATTGCAAGACTTGTCAAAAAATTTTATCATATAATTAGCTGGTAGATCCTACTTCTATTGGTTAGAAGTGAGAAGAGTCTTCACAATTGTTATATAATACAACATATATTGGCAGATCAATGGGTCGACCACGTTTCAAACTTTTTTAACATGTTAATTTTCCTTTTTTTTATTTATGATTGGTTCTTATTACATCATCAGATAATATTACAAGAAAAAAAACATATCTGTTTGTCATATCAATGAGAATAAAACGTTTTTTTTATTGTAGTAAAAAATACAGAAATTTATTATGTCAGTTTCACAATACTAAAAATTTACAATGAAGTTATACTTTATCGCCTTTCAAGAAAAGAACTTCATTCTGCTGATCACTACGTTTTATAGTAACACTTTTATAGTCATTCGCATAAAGAACGTACCAAAAGTTTGTTTTTAATTCCTTTACTTCTTTTTGATAATATCGGAAATCAATGATAGCCCAATTTTTTATTGAAATCTTGTCATATTTACCATCATTAATAAATCTTTCTGCATGCTCTTTCAAATGATTATCTTTTCGAGTTAGCTCAATTCCCTAACAATAATCACTGTTAACAAAAAAATCTAGAAATCCGTTTGTGCTAAATGTAGCACCAATATCAGAATTAACTGATGTATCTTTTAGGGCTACGGTTGTTGCAGTTTGGTACCACTCCATTTGTCAAGTTCTCTCAAATAAGTGTGTATCAAGTCCTTTTCCTTTTCCATATGAATTAATTAATGTAGAAGGGCTCATATGTTCAATGGTTCACTTCAAAAATTCCTCAAAGTTAGGTGTAGGTACTTTTATAAGAGATGAGGTAAACAAGTGGTGACTCATTACAACTCGAAAGATGGAAGCAATGAACTGTACTTGTTTAAAATCTACTACAAAAAGTCCTATTCTGACAAAATTCTTGGTAACACTATCTATATTAAAGTCAATAGGAAAGGATCTACCAGCTTGATTGTTAAGTAATACATTTTGAATAAATTTGGCTTCTTCAGTTAGATTCCAATTATCAATCCAATAAAATGCACATGAATCTTTCATTACATTAATAGTTAGACTTGGTGAAGCAAGATAACGTAACATTCCTATTATCAAAGCTTCATCATTTTTTTCAGCTAGAAAATAATTTGATTTATCCTTATAATAAGTGTATAGCAAATCCAAAATAAATCGACACAAGCCTACATAACCTCTAGTAAGAGAAAAGATCGCATCTGCAATTTTTTAGAGAATCTTAAACAATAAGCTACCATTCAAAACCCGCATCTGAACATAAAATCTTGTAAGATCTTTGAGGTTTTCCTCAGCTAAAAGTAAGGATTTCAAGCTAAGAGTATTGTTGTCATAAAATTTCACATATGTAGGTGTTTCATTCATTTCATTCACAAGTATTGAGTCGTATGTACCAAAAAGGAGTATATGAATATTATTTTTGTTTTTGTTCTCGCTTGACATAAGCATTTTCACTTTACTCCAAAAGTAATCAGCACAGTTACCATAAATAACTTGTATTTCGTCTATGAAAACATAAATAGTCCCTGTGTTATCACTGATTTCTGTCCAGTTACAACTAACTTCGTTCCTCCAGAAATTTTCAAAATGTTCCTCGGTTATTTGCTTTCTACTACCTAATCCAGCTAGACTTATGTAGAAACTACTACAATTAGAAAAATAGTTTTGAAGCGTCTGACTTAGGGTAGTTTTTCCTGATGATGATGGACTTCGCAAAAGTCTAACGTGATTTATTTTCACGAATTTAATGATTTTATCTAATCTATTTCCTGAAATAGAAATAAGACTATCACGGCCTTTCTTTGATTCTAAAGGATAGTCAGATTTTTCTCTCTTTCGACTTCCACCTTTCTTATCCTCTTCCAGTCTTTTCTTTCCTGATCAAATAAAAAATATAATATGTGAGATAACGCAAATTTCTTATTTAAGAGGTAAACCATTGGGAGATACTTACCAGTGGTGGTGGGCTGTGACAGTTGGACAATGATGTGAATGATCTTTAGAGGTGGTTGTTGTTGACAGAAGTCTTTTGAATATCATCTGATGGAATAAGCTTTTGGCCTTCGAGATCTCGTTCAATATCAACTTCTTGAGATTGTTTATCAAGAATACTCAGCTTAAGCCTCAGATTGCATAATACGATTTTCATTAAATGTTACGATTGATTTTGCGACACAGTCAGCAGCGAAAAAATAAATGCGCAGTAATATTAGTCTGTCTGTGCGACATAAGATTTTTTTTTACTGCAACCATCAAAGCCTTGTATTATTTTCTTCGAGCTAACTCGTTAAAGCGAAACTGAAGTATCGCAGTTTGAAAGAGGCGTTGGCAAATAGTTATTGAATGAAGTATACTTCTTTTCAGTGTGCATTTATGAGAAAATAACTTTAGAGCTCGTAAGCGAATGTCATTTTTCGTATAGACTTCTGAAGACCTTACTAGCATTACAGAATGCTAACAACATAAGTTTCAGTGAGGTATTTTGTTTTATCCAGAATATTGATGATTAGGACAATGAAACTGAACCATAGTAATGTAGACAAGCGAAAAACTACAGACATTAGTATAGAAATGTCATTTCACTTTGTAAAACAAGTTTATGTATTACCGAATCTTGTAATTTATTTTTTACATTAATAAATCAATAATTCTGATGAGGATATTACCTTGTTTCTATCTATGCTAACGAACTTTTGAATTATTCTATCTTATATAAAAAATTATTATTGAATATGCAATCTATTGATTCATTGAGAAAATTAAATTCCAAGCTCTTAGCTGAGATTGTAGAGCTTAGAAAGGAGAATGCTGAGATTTCTGAACTTAAAAGTTTAAAATAACATATAATATTCTATATGTGCTTTATTTTAATAAGTTTTTAAACTTTATTATAATATATATAATAACAGTTATATAACTTAATAAAAGATACATTTTTTATTATTTTAATATATAATATGATTATATTAATTGT